CAAGACCAGCCTGGCCAACATGGTGAAACCCCATCTCTACTAAAAATACAAAAATTAGCCGGGTGTGGTGGCGCATGCCTGTAGTCCCAGCTACTCTGGAGGCTGAGGCAGGAGAATCACTTGAACCTGGGAGGCAGAGGATTGTGCCACTGCACTCCAGCTTGGGCGACAGAGCGAGACTCTGTCCCAAAAAATGAAGGAAAAAAAAAAAAAAGAATATCGTGTCCATTTATTTCAGGATCTCTCATATTCCAGGCAAAAATAGGAACTCTTCAGTTTAGAAGACAGATGTTGAGAGTGAGGGGGAAAAGAATCAACAAAAACTGTGGAAGTTGATTTTACAACTGGCAAATGATGGCTACTTGGAAATTTTGGGAAACATCTTTGACGCTATTGTAATAAACATCTGAATAACTATTGTATCAATCGATTATGTTTATGATGACAGATGAGGGTAAAGTTAAAAAAAAAAAACAAAACTCACCAGAATATCAAAATTTGGTTTGTTTAACCATATACCTTATTTTATTAGAAGGCATTAGTGACGTGAAGGTTATTTTCATCTATTCTTTCACTTGCAGAGAGGTGTCTGATTTGATTGCCTACGTAGCAGACCTTCATTTCAACAAACAAAAACTTGAAGAAGAAAATAATAAGTTTAAGTTGGCTTTAGAAAACCTGGAAGAAACTAACAGCCAGTTATCAGAGGACTGTACCGAATTGCGCCTTCAGGTAAAAAGGTGAGCCACAGTAGGGTCCGGTGTGCTGGGAACTTTCAGTTCTTTTTTCTTTTTAAAAATACCTTTTAAAAATTGAGAGTCACATAGCATAAAATTCACTCTCTTAAAGTATACAATTCAGTGTTTTTAGAGTATATTCTCTGGCTGGGCATGGTGGCTCATGCCTGTAATCCCAGCACTTGGGGAGACTGAGGCAAGTGAATCACTTGAGGTCAGGAGTTTGAGACCAGCCTGGCCAACATGGTGAAACTCCATCTCTACTGAAAATACAAACATTAGCTGGGCATGGTGGCACGATCCTGTAATTCCAGCTATTCCGGAGGCTGAGGCAAGAGAATCGCTTGAACCTGGCAGGCGGAGGTTGCAGTGAGCCAAGATTGTGCCATCG